TTTTCTCCACTAGTCATACAACGTCCCTTGCTCATAGAGTATTTTCTCTAGTTATTACCTCAAGAGGATCTTGGAAGACGTTGGTATCACCGACAACAAGACTGTCAATCAAATCAACCTGTCAAACACCTGCTGGGGCTTCATTAACAGTACTTGCTTGGCCTTCCTCGTGTACAAGTTCCGCCGTAGGACTGCATATCTCATATGCACTTGCTCGCTACTTGCAGTCTATACTGGGTACGTGTCACCAATACTAACTCTTCATCATCTTACCAATTGTCAGCTGGACGATTGCTGCGGCCCGATACACCATTGCCCATGACAAGCGCGCATCGCATGCAGTTTTGGCCTTTATCTACCTCTACTCACCGGCGTATAACATGGGTGTATGTCCAATACTTTTAACTACCTTTCTATCCTTTCTGACAACATGTTCTAGTACAATGCGTTGACATATAGTGGGTTTTACAATCCTAATTCGTGGATAAGCGCTAACATCGGAGACAGCCTACTTGGTGGAACTCTTCCCCTTCGCCGTTCGTTCTCGCGGTATTACTATTTTCCAGTTATGGGGTCGCCTTGCTGGCTTCTTTAACCAATACGTCAATCCTATTGGAATTGCCAACGTCGGATGGAAGTACTACTTATCATACGTGTACGTGTCCATCTGAGAGTTCTAAAAATTTGTTACTGATTCCATATTTTTGACACCAGCTGCTGGCTCGGCTTTGAGGTACGTTATCATGATATTACATCTTACTCATCTAACTCTCATTCATCGTAGATTGTCTTCGTCTACTTTATGTTCCCCGAGACCTCCGGTCGTACTCTTGAAGAATTGGCATTCAGTGCGTACAGTTCCTTACGAGGTCATACATATCTGACATTCTTGAATTCGACAGTCTTCGAAGGCAAGGAAATTAAGAAGCGACAAGTCAAGGAAACCGAGCAGGAATTGGATCATCGCCACCTTGGCGCACCAATGAAGTTCGAACCTGCTGCTGGAGGAGAGACTAAGCCAGAGGGTGAACACGTGGAGAAAT